GAGAATGTTGATGCACAGAGGAAACTGTGCAATAACAAACTAATCTCAGATCAGACCAGACAAAGAGGATAGGTCTATTTGTTTCTGAAATATTAGCATGCAAAGGCAGATAATGGGTTTGTTACAAAAACTGTTTCAGCCTCTGAAATGTAGTTTTGTGGAAAGCTACAAATATTATACTTGAAATATAAGAAAAACACACACTGGTTGTATAAAAATGTATTGCCTGTACATGGAGAAAAACCCACCTTGGTTTTCATCAGAGAAACATCATAAGACAGGAAAATATAGCAAAGCAAAAGACAAAAACTTTCACCTATTAGTTAATAAGTAGCACAATATGATAGAACTAAGGAATATGCAATCCTACACAACAAATTTTTGCAATCTAAAGAGAGAGAAAGAGTTTCCCTTTTTATATACACATTCTTACACAGCAGCCTTTACCTTCTCAAGCTAAGAGAGAAAGCAGTGTCCTTTGTGCTTACAGCAACATTCTTTTCTCTTTATTGGGTTTTCAGTCTACCGACTTGCCCCAGTCAGACCCACAAATAACACATATGAAAAGGAGAATTATAAATGACTACACACAAACAACCAGCACTGTTCAATACAATGCCACCAGGAGGTTTGGAGTGGTACAGTCGATACACTCGATACTATCGATACAGTCGATACTGCACTAAAGCCCTTTATTTCTGCAGTAATGTGTATATGCTTTAAGTTATGGCAAACCTAGATCTAATGAGTGTGCTCAGTTTTTCCAGCCAACCTGAATGTACATAAAGTTTCATGAGGTACATTGGCTTAGTTTAGATTCCAATTTGGATTTTAAGTAAATTGTATTAAATAAGATTTACATTTTCCATCTCTTTTTCTCTCTTTCTTTCTCTCACTTTTTTTTACAAACCTCCAACTAAAAATGAAGTGCAACATTTACTTCTCCGAATGTAAACAGGTAATAGAGACAGAAGAATGTCTGTTAACATCAATCCTTGCAGTTTTTTTAAATTGTGTGTAGTTTTTATTTACTGTTTTATCATGGGTTAGATATGCCGTATGCTTTTCATGTGTAGTCAGTAATTCCCTCATAGTATACTATTTGTTAAAGACTTGGACAAAGTTTTCCTTTCTCCAAGGTGCTTCGGTATCCTCCTAGGAGTGTTTTTGAACACCAAGCGCTTCAAATGTGCCAGTGAGCACACCCAGTATACACACGAGTGCAAGCATGGAGATGCTACATGCTGCACACACTACCCTTTCTGTCTATGTGTGTGGCATGGACCATCATGTGTGTAAATATGGCTGGCACAAAATTGGCTCTCTCAGACTGATCGGCCAGTCA